GAGGAGAGTGGACATCCTTGTTATTGTTTGAATTTCAATCTTAAGACCAATGAATAAGACGGAAATTTATTTGGGTTTATGTTGAAGATCTAAACGACCTTGGGTAATCCTTCGTAAAACGATGCTTATAGGTACAGTCATAGTGTATTTATGATAATTGGGAAATTATCGATATTGGCTTCATTTACATTTTTTTTTCTGGGATGTCAAATTTATAGGAGGAAGCGTATTCACTTCTAAGAATACTATACATTACCTACCGACCTACCAAGCCAAGAATGTATATTTTTAAACACAGTCAAAAAAATTGCAAAAGTCCTATAAATATGTAAAAGTAAAACTTATCTGATTGATTTTTCGAGTTAATTTTTTGGGCCTGTTGGTCTTGTTAGGTTCAGACTGCTGAGCTGGTCTTGTATTCCACTTATGTCGTATAATTGAGTTATTTGTTATGTATCTGGATGTAGTGTATCTATAACGGTGGTCACATCTGCAACCAGCTTTGGTCAATCGGTCGTCTCCACTGCTCCTTCACGACAACGCGCGACCCCATACTGCGCAACAGACAGTCTCTAAGCTGCAAGAGCTGGGGTTGGCAACTCTCCCTCATCCGCCATACTCACCAGACCTTGCACCTACCGACTATTACTTTTTCCAAAATTTAGACAACTTTTTAGTGGGTAAAAAATTCAATTCCCGAGAGGCAGTACAAAATGCCTTTGAAGAGTTTGTTGCCTCCCGTCCAGCTGATTTTTACAAGAAAGGCATCAATAAACTGCCAATACGTTGGCAAAGATGCGTCGATTGCATGGGTGATTACTTCGAAAAACAGAAATAAAAAAGTTTGAAAAAATAAGTACTTTCACTTATTGCATACAAAACGGCAATTTCATAGGTAAAGACCTAATATCAGCTGTATCGAGTTAGTACGAGTTATTATTCATAAGGTTACAAGATCTCAGGAATTATGGTCGTAAACAGACTATCCTGTGTTAATCACTCCTTAGGTTATAGAAGGTCTTATTAGTACGTTTACTGCGTGTAAATTAAGGGCTTACCTTTCGGTGATGTACTTACCTAGTTTTTGCAGACAAAAGATTTATAATTATATTTCAAATAAAAAGGACAATCCCTTTACCATACTATTTGCTTGAAATTGTAGTTGTAAACTTTATTGTGGGGAAGTACTATACTAAAGACCTTAGGAATATACTGTTCTGATCATATTCTTGAATGACTAACAGTGAAATAGAATAACAAGAAACCGGTCATACTCATAGTTTTTTAATTGTCAAACTTTATTATTACTGCATTATCAAACAATCAATTGCTGTCTCGATTGCTGAGGAATTGTTCTCGTCCGACCTTTTACGGAGTCGAGTTATGATATTTGACTTTAACTAGTCATCTAGTAACTAGTAATCACTTTCGCATATATTCGGTCAGACGAGTATAGGCAAAAATGATTACTAGACACGTATTGTATTTGTTTTGTATTGTTTTTTTGTTTTTTCTTCCTTTGTTTACAACGCTTTCACGCCTTAGGAAAATGATACTGTTGCTAAAAATATATGGGTACTTTATATCTAGAAAAAAATAGGTAGCACAGACGGGGGCAGAAGTTGATTCTATGATATTATAGCGCCATCTTATCAAGACACACTGAACTACGGAGTAACTCCTGAGTTAGAATTGCTAATCCTATATCGCGATATGATCCTCCCTTTGTGTTGCAGGGGCAACACAAAGGGAGCATGACAATGGGCACCCACAATTTAAACCGATTTTGTAATTTTAAAATTTGTTTATTTTTCTAAATCCTTTTCTTAAAGTTATCTGGAATAATTTTAATAGTTCCTAAATACGTAAGAGTGATTTTTGATTATTTACTAGCACGAGGATCATGACAACATTTAAAACAGTGATATCAAAGTACAGTATCTTGTCCTGCTGTTATAGTGCTCGCTAACACTCAAAAGGTAAGGAGTCACATTTAATACGACAGCAGAATCTCCATGTAGAGAAATCATTAAGGCACCATGATTCAGAACATTTGGAGAAACAAAAGGACTAAAAACACAAAGTTGTTTAATAATCTCAACAAAGTTATGCAATAACAGGAATACCAGTAACGTATTCCAATACTAGTTATCATTACTTAGCTAAGCTCAATACTTATGTCAGAAGAGGGTCCATCTCGGTGAATTACTCGATGAAGTTAGCTGGTAGCCACAACCGCCAGACCTAGGCCTAATAGTCCCTAGTACCTTAGCCATTATGCTACTACTGTTAAATTATCGTGTGTTGGAGATGCACACTAAATACAATTGCTGTGCAATAGTGGTTTGTGTAACGGACTGCTATTCCAAAGGTCGCGGGTTCAATTCCCGCTCAAGTCAAACATTATTGTGCATGAAAATTTAATGTTTAATTTGGTCTGGGTGTTTCTATGTATAATATGTATAAATTTACAAAAAAAGTGTATAATATAGGTTATTTGGTGGATGGCATTTAAAAAAATAGTGAATGAGTGTATTGTTTTTATCAGTTATTTCAAATTACATCTTATTATTAACTGTATTTTTGTTAATTGTGTGAACTTTCAAAAGATCTTTTTTCTTAAGAGCCTTATTATACAGAATAAATTATGTTCTCGTGTGTATAATTAAATGTATTGGTTGGACTAATTGCAAGTAATCTTTACAAATATTTACTTTTTATGAAACTCAAACATTATATGCTGTAAATATATTATGATTCTTTTATTTAATTCTTATCATATCACTTTTCTTTAATTTAAATGATTACCTATAATAGGAATCTCTTAATTTTTTTCAGGATAATATGTTATGGTATTTTTTAAATAATCATTTTTTAATAAACACATTTACTTTATAAATTAAAGTTAACAATTTGACTCTAACTTAAAAGATCACAAACACCTTTTTTTTCTTTTTTTTTTTTTTTTTTTTTTCCGTGCGGAAATCCCCTCGGATACCACCTGTCGGTGGCATGTCGGACACGAAAGATCACAAACACCTAAACTTGAATCAATAGGTACCAATTGTCACTGCCTTCCTTTGAAATTTCCCCAATAATTTTATTTGTCTGTCTGTTTTCTTGCGCCGAACACTTGCACTTAAGTATTAGGCACATCAACGTTGATTAATTGAAAGTCAAAATATCTTATATATCGAAAGGCAATTGAAATCAAATTAATCAAATCGCGTCGTTCGTTATGGTTCGATAACTAATCAGTTAGTGACGTAATCGATAAGAATATGTCGCCGTTTCAATTTCTGTTAAGAAAGCAGATAATACTTAGGACTCCTTTTGTACTTAATAATTTTTTGTTTTATATAAATACTAAGATCTATAGGTATCGACTTATATAGTAATATATTACACAGCTACATTTTGCGTCCTTATATTTCTGGATACACGCAATAGGCATAGGATCTAATTTTAATCTACAGAATAGTTTAACTCTATTTTTATGGATAAAACATGAAATCTTCACCACTTCTCCAGGTTTATTTATAAAAATTCAAGGACCATCATTCATTTATGAGTGTGTTTTAAGTATGAGATCCACAGGAGATCCACATAGTAGTGAGTAAATATGGCTTTGATAAAACTTATAAACGTTTAATGCCATATATAGAGATCAGATGGTTAAAAAGGATATAATATGTGCATCATCTGTCAAGGTCCTATATTTCCGAACCTGCAAAGCAGTATATAGAGCACTAGCGAACTGCTAAATGCAGCGGTAGGCTGTTGGTATTCAGAATTATGGCCCGGAAACAATTACTTAAAATACATTTTCTTACCATGTTATGTTTTTATTTTTTAATGAAATGTTTGCAAAGCATATAATATTTAGTGTATCATATAGTGGACAAATGCTAGTATGTAACTACCCTCATTCACTTACATTATATTAAAGTGTAAACTCTCGATGGCTCAAACATAAACCTATGTGGTTTCCCCAGAAGCTGTCGTTTTGTAAACTTCTCTGTCAAGTTGTTTTTTGTGATAAATAAATAAAAAAGAACTAATTTTTACCTACACTCTCTTCTCTCTAATGTTGTATTTGGTGGTGCTGATAACTTTTCATGCATAATGATCGCGTGTATGGCTTGTTTCGGCTAAAGTATTTATAAAGTCTTAGTTTCGTGATACATGTGTCAGTTCAGCCAACCTCCCGAAATTAAACTTCGAACAATAAAACAACGTAATAATATTTATGACACCATTAATAAAATAAGAGTCCATATTATAAAATTTGTTGCTTATCATGTGCCCAACCCCTTTAATTTGTTTCTGGTCCATCCCAAGGACTCCGGGAAGAGATTGCTATCAGCGATAACAAAGCCGATTAATAACATTTTGTTTTAATTTTAAATATTTATGTTTAATTGCTGCCATAAAACGTTATATTTGACGTACGAATGACATTTTTCTAATCGGAATGTAGTAAAATTTAATTGGTTTTTCAAGTTATGTAATTGAAAATATTTAAAAATAATATTCTTTAATTTTGTTCTTTTCTTGTACGTTTCATCGAAGTGATGTTTGACCGTGAGATTGTTGACCATAGAACTAAAACCTATTTCTAGTCTAGACTGGGTAGTCGACTCGGAGAAGACCTTAACTTCTTCCCCTATTTTTTGTGCTCACATATATTAATTCTTCTTTAAACAAATTGTAAGAGTATTTTTCGTCTAGTTTGTAAACTTATGTTCAGGAAACTGCTTAAGATGCCTAACAGCAATTATACGAGAAATATATTTATCACTATTCTTCCGTGTTTTTTTTTTTCCTTTTACCTATATCTATATTCTCTATGATTGTAGTCACTGCGTGGCTCAAAGAGTACTATTGACTAAAGTTAAAATGACACAATATTGTAAATAAAATACATATAACGCTTACCATAGGCCGATGGTAAAACTAAGAAGTAGTGATTGTTTATTTATATAAGATTAGGTTATTATTCAAGAAAATTTCTCTATGATATATCTTATGGCTGCTGATAGTACTGCAGCTGCTACTCCAGTTGTATGAGTATTGCATGATCCTCCCAAGATATCTTGATCTTCTTCTACTATTTGCCAATTTGGTTTCTCTATTTTATATAAATCTGGTATTACGTTTTTTTCTTTACCTTCTTTGCTACTAGCGACACATCCAAGTGCTCTTTGAAATTCAAAGAGCTCATCTAACCATGAGCGTCGAAGAAATTGTACGTGGCCCTCAAGAGTGCACAAAGCAATCATTTCTAAAGATAAATCTGGTATTCCAAAATTATGGAATGAGTGATACTCTATTTCGTTGTAAATCTTACCGCAGAATGTTTCAATCTGTGCTTTGTCTTCTACTGAGGACATGATAGTACATCCACGCGAAAATCGAGCCATTATCATGTACAATAACCGATGCGTTATTGCGTACCCATAATCGGTGCCGTTTCGTACATATTCAACACAAGAACTTGAAACGTCACAACGACTCCATCGCATTGTAGGATTAATAGGCACCTGCGACAAGGCACTTATACAATCATCCGAGAGCTGCGGACTTGGATAATAATTATCAAAATCATACACTTTCTCCACGTATTGAGACCATATTGAATATCTTTCAGTTAACTCTTTCCTTGAATAAAATTTAGTTTTTTTCAACAAGTTTGTTTTATACTTTTGTAAATGTATTCCCCAGTTTAACTTATCCTTAGAAAAAAGTTCGGTTATAAAGTGAGCAGATGATTCCGCTTCTGTAGTGTGTCTTGAATGCTTATTAAGCATGTCTTGAAAATATTGGAGTATTTCATCATACTGTTGCAAGATTCTGTTCAAGCGAGCCTTTTTAATTCTCGGTATTCTTATTCCTCTTAGCCGTAAAATGGTTCTTAGATTAACGTTGACTAAAAACAGTCCAAAGCCTAAATTCATGTCCATATAACGCTTGTGATTTTGAACAAAATCCATTATTTTCTCCAATTTTGTTATATAACCATCTAAGCTGCTTCTCAGCGGTAAATCATTGAGGATTTCCATTTCTTTATAATTTTTTACAAATTTTGCAGAGACATCTTTTATTACAATACTGAATATATTGGTGTACATGATCACAACTATTATACAGAAGCATGGTACTTGATTAGTTGTTTTCGATATCATGCTCACAAACACAGTTTTAATTTTGAATAACCGGCGACGTTAATGCATCTGAATCCAAACCAACTACTGAATTAGGCACACTGGCTTTATCACGGTTTTTATTAGCGTCGATAAAAAACACTACTATAGTAATTTGAAGATTAACCGTTGACAAGCTATCTACAATAATTGTAAGAAACAATATTGTGTAGTGAGTATTGATAACTCTGCATTGAAACTTACTTTATTTTTCAAGCATGTGAAAGCAGACAAGATTTAAAGATTTTTTTTTGTGTTACTAAAGTTAGTATTTGCTTTTAACTAACTACCACATCAAAATATTTTTAAGGTCAGTTTAAAATGTACAAGAATTTGAACAACACATAACTTTTTCTTCTATAACCTGCAAAAAGCTTAACGTGTACTTTATTAAACCATAACCATTTACACTAATTTGTTATATTTTTATTTTAAAATTTCTACCAAAGACAGCACAGTCTGTCAACATATTGTGTTGCCATCCCAAGTTTACGAAACGAAAACCTTAACCGCATAACTCTCCCTTTGAAAAAGACACATACTTAACCAAGGGGTGTCAATGTCGCAAGATCCTTTGCGCACGCGCCGATCTATAATGAAATCATAAGTCACGTTCTCACTCTCAAAGCATTACCTGAAACAAACGAAAAATAAACCTTCAATCTAATGAAAGAGAACTTAGAATAGCTTAAAGCCATGTGTACGGTTGAAATGCTCTGCAGCATTGTATAGTTAATTGCAAATTACAAAACACTGTTTAGGTTTATTAATTCTTTGTATTCAATAATCTTAGCTGTTTTAGGCTTTGGACTTGCAAAACACGTATGAAATATTTAATGATATTTCATCTAACGGTGAACAGTGTTTCTTATATGGTAATTTTAACGTAATAATAATATCTTGGGACATACTACAGTACAGTGTTTTTAGACCCAAACTAAGCAGACGTCGTACTATCGGTTTTGGAACAAGGTTTTACATAGATATTTGACATTTGACGGCTCTGTTGGACTGCTAAGTCGGAGGTCGTGGGTTCGATTCCCACCCAGGAAAAATAATTCTGTGACGAACTCGAACATTTGTTATGCGTCTGATTATAAATTATCTATAATAAGTACGTATTTAGAAATATACAAGTATATTTATCAACGGTCTGGTTAGCAAAGTACAGGTTCTGCCTAGTTTGAAATCGGATGGCCGTGTATGAAAAGTGTTACGTTAAAATTATTTTTAATTACATTAGTCGGTCGCATGAAAATGTTTCACCCCTAAAAAAAAATACCCCTGTCGGGTCCGAAATAAGCGGGGTATCTCCGAAATACACAATTAAGAAAAAAATGTTCTAATCTGTAATTATAGCTAATATTGTTTAAGAAATGGAAATTAGTAAAGAAAATACTATTTATATAGACAACTAGGAATAAATCTTGTGTGGCGGGGGACTTTACATACATGAAACGGACACAAAGAACACCCAGACTCAGAACAACAATTTGTGGATCACACAAAGTGTAGTCCCATGCGGGGTTTGAACGCACAACACTCGGAGTAGTAGGAAGCGGCGTGGCGACCGCTTAAACCACTACGCCACCCGTGCAGTCAAAAACTATTATAATTTAGAACTCATAGAAGTATCAATTTAATAGCTGAAATTTCTTTGATTTTATCCAGAGTTTGTGTTTACGTTATACACACTTTACTATCATAAGGCAAAAAATATCAACATGACATAATATACAACAATCTTTTTTGTTCATAGTATAATGCTCACAGCTAAACTGTATGTACCTTCAACTTCAGGAAATGAGTTCTATCCTATACGGAAGAAGTTACAAAGAACAATGGCAGAAACATATTTACCTAAAACTTAAGCGTTTAAAAAATCAAGTCACAGTAAACTTAATCAATTTTTTTTCTATGATTTATCATTACACCACCATGTGTTGTATAAGTCTTATAAGAGATAAGATATTTTTGAAGATTTTATTTGACCTAAGTACGTAATGTCAGATTCGCCACCACGTATAACTGACTAGGGATGCGTGGTGGCAATATTATATTATGGAACAATTTATCGATAATCGATTCTTATAGCTTTGGCTGAAATATTTACCGAAGGTTCACTATTATGATTATGAATTTGCTTCTGCCCACGTCTTCACTCGTACGGTAGAGTGACTGAATCAACATAATTAGAAATGATTTAAAATATTTTTGACTCTCTTTAAACGATTTTAAACACACTAAAGAAATAGAATATAGTTACGTTATTTTCCACTACACACTGTGATGAGAAAAATACATTGTCATTGATATCGACACATAAATAGACATACATCGATATTTTCAAAATGTCGATACGTCGTCGTTTAGTACATATCTCTTTATCTGTGGTTTAGATCCTGTCAAGTTCCGGACTCACCACGTTTGTTATTTTATTTTTGTTTAATTTAGTGTTAAACTCGAATAGATGTTATGCTTTTATTTTTTTTATTTCATATACTGTAATAATAATGAAAATAATATTTCGGCTATCTGACACACAACGCCATCTAGTTTCAAACAAAACATTAACAATATGTTAGTACTTAACCTCGAAACATTCAAAATCCAATATCTTTTTTCCTAGACTTCTTTCGCAAGTAATTTTGATATGAGAATGGTCAAGAATAAATTCTCAAGTGTTAAGGATTTTTTGATATTTAAACGCTAACATTTCAGTTCAAATAAAATCATGTATGGGGACCTGCCATTGTCCTTTGTATGTTTGTCAATTACTAGAAATAGTACGGAATGGATTTCATATTAATTAAAAAAATAATTAACCTTTTCACGTAACGATATCTAATACTTCCTCTTTGTGTTAAATAGATTGATAAAGCTACGATTTTATCAAACTAAATAAAACAATCTACACGTTTATATTAATCTACATCCATTGATTATTTTTAAGGAAATACATTAGTTTCTTTAAATGGCTTGATTATATATTCAATCGTTGATTTAATTAGTTAATATTTTTGGACGAAATTTCAATTTACATTAATCCTATTTCGTTGATAATAATTTATTTTTTCTGATATACATATTACTATTATGAGAAGCATTGTACAGTTATAAATTCAGAACTAAATTTTTCAGTTTTATTATAGTTAGGTGTACCTATTCCTGGTAGGTAGAAGATGGTCACTTGTCACCCACTAGACTTCTATAACATTAGTATTAACCCTATACGGATTGCTATCAAGAGAAATGTAGGCCCAGAACGTACTGTGTGGTCCTTACCAGGAAACACTTTCGGCGTTTTTATTCCACTACTCTTTATTGATTTTCAATAATTAGTGGTACAAGGGGCTAAGCATTAATATCAAATAAAGTTTACAACGTACGATTACAGATAGGGTCTTAAAATTAGCCTTGGAGGGTCAGCTTTGATCCAATCATGTTCGAGGCGTTTTTGAATCGGCCTGCGTACGCGCGTAAATCACTGATTCAAATTAGATATTTTTTCTTGTGAGATGGTTATCACTGCATTACTCTCGTATTTTTGATAAACTTTCTTTGTATAAGAAGGTCAAAAAGAATGCAATAGATTGATGAATAAAATCTTTTTAAATATTGGTTCCATTATTTTTCGCTTATTTCTTTTACGGCGTCAAGTTTTTTTAATGACTTCATTTGTTAATATTTAAATTTCAAATGCAAATTGAGACTCGTTCAATAACGGGTACCTAATATGCAAGTGTACCAATATTCGTCTGATATACTGCCTCGGCGGGATCCCATTTAAAAAGCTATTACTCTCAACACGGGCCCGAAATAAATCCTCAATTTGTAAAATATCTTAAAATCGATTACATAATTTGAATTTTAAGTATATTTAGCTTATACTACTAAACCATCTAAAATGAACACAACTAAGTAAATGTTGTTCGTAATATCTAAATTTTATGGTAAAAAATATTAACGCTGGCTAGTTTCTGACCGAGCGCTTGCGGGTTTAATCTCCATCAGTTTACAGTATAATAATTGGAACAAAATCATAATACAAGCATTTTATATAGACGGGGGTTAACGAGAGATTAACGTAAGAGTACTAGTTATATGTTACTCATGCTTTTCAGTATTCTTTTGTGAATTAGTTGAAAAAAAATACAGGCCAATATTTCAAAAAAAAACTTAAGAAAAACACCTTATACCTACATAATCAGGTAGTGGTCAAATGTCAAGTAGTGTGGTTTAATATAAAAAAAAATTGTGTTGACTACGACACTAGAAATTTTTCTTAAGGGATGCAAATCGAAACCTTCAAACTATACTAGACAATTTGACATACGCGTGATAGAATTTCTGTGGTGTAACGTAACGTAAGCGTATTGCGGTAATATTTGATCACAAATAAAAATCTCACCCGCTCCACCGATTGCGATTAAGCGATATTTTAAAATTAACTTTTTGCTCTTATCTGTATTGATGATGTAAGAAATTGCAACGTTTAATATAGTCACGATTGGTTTCTCTTATTTTAATGATGTCCACTTTCCTCATTTTAAATTTTACAACAAGTTACTGAAGAAGATCTTTTGAAATCAGATCTCAAAATATACTTTTTGTAAGCTGATTCTATTTAGTGTAAGTCTGTTATGCATTTATGGCTTTCACGCAACAATCTATAAGGCAATAAACGGCAGCAATACAAAACTGTCCTTGAGGACGATTTTATCACATTTATAATACTCCTTATTCTTCTTATCTCCACTCTATAACATTATAATGTACTTGCATGGGAATATGTGATTATTTTCAAATTATTATTAAGTTATACTATTATTTACTGATTATTATTATTATTATTCAGTAATTAATTTCATTTTTCTATGTAAATGTTGAAAAAATTATGGTATAGTATTTTCCTGCAATAAATTATA